TTCTCTCCTTCTATCCTATAATATTCGTTGGTTCCTTTCTTGTCAGTCATAGTATGTACATCCAGCCAAACTCATTTTATAGATCTCCACCTTGGCATTTTACCATTCATGAACTGGACTACCCATGCTTGCTCATCCAGCCACCCCATTGCCAGTCTATCCACACCCTGCCATCTAAGCAATTGATTCCATATTAAAGTAGCAAAGGAGCATTATCATGCCCAACTATGCCTTATAAAAAGAATTAAGTGGTCGCCGCAAATATACTCTGGTTTACAAGTTCGAAGTCGCATCTCACAGAGAACTAAGGATTAGCTACAGTTGTTGACTATCACTAAGAAGATAAGCTCGAACAATTTTTAAGTTATAAATATTAAGATTCTTATATCTAATTAACTAAATAATTAAAGTAGTAGATTAACAACTAAAGATACTACGGATTGGAGAAAAGATTAAGGAGGTCTAGAGTTATGATTTCCCAAATTGTCGGAATCCTTCCCGCTACGTCTTCTACGATTTTGCCTAAGTATTCTCTACCGATCATGAGCGCTCTGAGTGTTGTAATTCTCTCCCGAGAAACTACCACAATTTACTAGATATATTCTCCCGAATTACGCTAGCTGGCGTTAACTACAGCTCACTCGGATCGTACCAAGATTTCGTTATCCCTAATCCCACCTTTAAATCCTCTGTATTGATCCCTCATATACGTTAGGAGTGATGTTGTTCAACAACTACCTAAATATGCACTCTCTCCCGAGTAATACACACTAAATATGCATAGTCGATTGAGTTCTCTTCAACCAACCATAATAATAACGTAGTTGAACAAATAGAGAAAAGCTACGGCTCAATTATATAAAAACATAACAATAATTTATCCTACAAAAGGTTCTATCAAAACTCTAGATAACAAATTAGCTATTCATAATAGTATGCATAACTGCAATACTAGAAATCCAATAATGGAAATAGGAAGAAGGAAGTGAAAAACTCATATAAGAATTCTCCGCCTTGCTCCTAGTGTGTTCTTCCCTCCTTAGGTCGAATCTCAGGTCTCCCCGGCAGCTCCGTGCTCTCCCTTGGTCTAAAGTGTGTCAAAAGTCCTCAAAATACCGTTTTTCCATGTATATATACCAAGTAGGGTCGGACCCAAACAATTATACCTTCTCCTATGCGAAAAAAGACACTTTTTCTGGACAGGACGTGCGCGGCCGCGCACCTGGAAGTGTACCCGCGCACTTTTCACACTTTCTGCCCCATATGCGCGGTCAATGCGCGGCCGCGCACTTGCCGCGCACTTTTCACCTGGTTTTGTTGGGAAATTGAAAAAACTTAAAACATGAAAGTCGTATCCCTTTGAATTAGCTTTCCAAAAATATATTGTGGATCCTAAACGAAATTCTGAGCAAAAAGTTATATGTATTTTACTAGACAATGCGCAATATGCCTGCTCGATTCTTTGTTTCGTTGCCCTATCATCAGTTGATCCCCGAACACGATCCCAACTTAATCCTTGGGCTTTTACTCAGACTTCAAATCTCCAGAATAACTTGAATTCATTTCATAACATCTACATAGATTGGAATCACTCCTACAAGGCATAAAACACACAATTGGTGCAAAACACTAGCGATTAAAGCTCAAACTCAATTAAAGTGCAGTAAATTAGAGTGTAATAAGCGACTAAAATACGTAATTATAGCCTTTTATCAAAGCACTTGAAGAACAAGTTTGGCTTCTATATCACATAAAGGACATATAATATTACCCTTCACTCCCCATTTTACCAGTCTATCTTTGGTATACAACCGTTTGAGGACGGCCATTCTCAGCAACAAGATTCATTTTGGGCATCCCATGTTATTATAAACTAGTATCTTCCATGGTACCTTTTGAAACTCCCCTCTTAGCTTTATATACAACTTCCTGATAGAGAACTATTGTATCTCCATTAGTTCATCAAAAGAAATGCCCGTTTGCTCCAATATTTCTTTGGCTTTAAGGATTTTGTTTACCATCTACGATTCTTGTTTATCACATATTCCCCAAATATACCTTCATTTTATATAGTAAGTGTGAACCCATTGAATCTATATCTTTGTTCTTACAAAGATTCTAGTAATGCTTACAAATTACTGATTTATTCCACAATGATATATTTGTCATATTTATAGTATATTTGGCCAAGTTTCTCCAAGTTGAAAAGCATTTTTTTTCTTTTCTTTCAAAGTTGAAGTGTTTGGCCAAGCTTTTAGAAGAAAAAAAAGTGTTTTTGAGGAGAAGCAGAAGCAGTTTTGGAGAAGCAGAAAAAAGTAGTTTATTCCGAGAATCACTTTTTTGAGAAGCACTTTTGAGAAAAATACACTTAGAGACACTTTTTAAGAGCTTGACCAAATATTAATTGCTACTTAGAACTTAGAAGTGTTTTTTAAATTAATTAGTCAAACACAAACTGTTTTTCACCAAAAGTACTTTTGAAAAAATAACACTTTTCAAAATAAGCTGATATTTCCAGCTTGGCCAAACAGACTATTAGTCCACCAGCAGACTTAGGTAACACACTTTGTCCAAGACAATAAAGCTTTCTTGCTTAAGTCATTTCCGCATGTCCATAAAAAATTCATGCATACAATCTCAACCAATATAATAATGATTTTAGGCAATACAAAAATTCGTGACCAGAAAGCATGTATAGAGAACAAAATACTTTTAATGACCTGACTTCTCCCTCCATAAGACAAATACTTTTCAGTCCATGAGGTAACCTTCCAACCATCTTGTCAAGCAAAGATTGACAATGCATTAGTGTCAATCTTTTGGAACTTAATGGCACCCCTAAGTATCTCCCGGAAGTGCTCCTTTAGGAAAGCCTAGCAAGCTAAGAATCTCTGTTTGAATATCCGGCATCCCCTCTAAAAAAAAAATTAAGCTTTTGGCTTTGTTAACTATCAATCACGAAGCCAATGAAAGTTGTTGGAAACAATCATACATCTGTTTGGCTGATATCATATCACCCCCGCAAAACATAATTAGGTCATTAGCAAAGCTTAATTGCACTACTGTATTTTATTACATTTAGGGGATAGTTAAAATCTTGTTTCTCGTAACAATTAAGCAATATAAACGAAATTATATTCATGTTCCTGCAAAGTACTATGACAAATAATTAGCAAATAAGCAAAACTAATAAATTTATTAGTCATTTTATCTTTTCATGTTAGAAAAAGAAAATAGGGCATAAGACAACGAGCTCAAACTTATTGTTTTAAAATTTATCGGGTTAGATCTGCTACTTTAGAACCTTACTTCTTAATGCTTAATTAGAACTCTCTTCTAAAATTACAGCTCACGTTTCACATGCTCAACTGCATGAAAATAATTGTAGAACGGCTCGACAACAAAAGTATTATACTCTATCCGATCCATTTTGATTGATTTTTTAGTTGTTTACACTCATGTTAAGAAATCTATATTTTAGCGTTATTAACAATAAAATTGACCATATTAACCTTAATTTGTCCATTGAAAATATAACAAATACTCCTAGGTTTTTTTACTCTAATGGCAGCTTTGGATAAAAAGAAGAATTTAATTTCTTCTTGATATCTGAAAAAATTAAATATTATGGAGCGGATAAAAAGATCAATTAAAGCGGACCGGAGGAGTAACAAATTTCATTAATAAACAAACTACTATTTATTGGTAGAAAAAATAAGTGAAACTACCAGCTATGTCCATTTATAAGTAGCTCATTATAAAAATTGGTCAATTAATAAAATATTACTAATATTAGCCAAATGTTATTAATATTAGCCAATTAACTATTTGTAGCAAAAAAATATCAAATTTTTACTTTCTTTTGAGTGGGTGTTATTAGAATAGATTGGGTATATCTTAAGGAGCTTGAATCTCAATTTTGGAATGATTCGGTAAAGTTTTGAGGTGGTTTGAATTGAAAATTCGAAGTAAAAGCTGAACATGAAAAAAATGATATGTGTATCACACTGTGTATCATTTGTATGACATATGTATCATATTTGTATCAATTGTATAGCACATGTATATCCATGTAAACCTGTGTATGAAATACATGCGTGATACATGTTTGATACATGTGTCGCAGAAGAATTTTTTGAACTCGATTTAATTACGAATTTTAATACAAAGCCAGTCCAAATCACCTCCAATCTTCCTCAACTATAACCATTGAAAACGTTCCTTTTTTGCTTAGATTTTTTGGAATATTGTATATATATATAAATATATATATTTTTTTATTTCATCACCTTATTTGCTACCTCATCAATGAAATTTTCTTTTCATCTTGCATCTAATGTTGCTAATCACACTTAAAATATATGGAAGGTGAATTTTGCATGTAATTCTTTGAGAGAAAGAACCTTATTTATTTGGTTTTTTCAATTTTTATATGTACTTGACTAGTTTTGGTAAGTCTATGACTAATGGCTAAAGGTTGGTAAGTTGAGACTTATTTGGGACATTTGTGTAAGAGCCTGTTTGGCTTAGCTGATTTAGAGTAGCTGATAAGCATTAGGTGCTGAAAAGCACTTTTAAGTGCTGAAGCTGATTTAAAAAATAAGCAGTTACGTGTTTGGATAAAAGTGCTGAAATTAATAATATGCAGCTAAAGAACGGGGTATACGAAGAGTTTTGTTTTAAAAAGAAGTATTCTAGGGATAGAATAGTAAATATTTTGGTCAAACTTAAAGTGCTTATAAGCTGAAATTTGATAAGTTGGGGGAGACCAACTTATGACTTTTGGCTTATTTTTGGCTTATAAGCACTTAACTTATAAGCACTTTTAATTTTAGCAAACGCGTAGATAAACCAAAAAGTGCTTATAAGCCAGTTTGACCAGCTTATAAGCTTAGCCAAACACCCTCTAAGTTTCCCCAAAAAACAAACCTATTATTTGACTTTTGGTGCAATAAGCTTTCTAATTTTGTATTTTCAAGTTAAAGAAGAAAATATAAGACGATGGGCTCAAACTTTCAACTGTTATACATTAGAATTTAGAACTCCCTCCATTACTTCTCAATAAAAAGCCCCTTTATCAGTGAATTCGAATCGCCTACATTTCAACAGGTACCTTGCACTCTCCCTCTCACTACTCCATGTATGTAAGTCCCTACATTTCTTAAATTCCTAACATGCTTTGCAATTACACATGGATCGATTCTAGTTTCCTTAAAAACTGAATTGTGGCATATTGTGTTCGACAAAATTCCTCTTAGGAAATTATTTCCGCCGAGTTATTGGAGTTTCTCCTTTTTCTTTTCTTTATTCTTGTGTTTCTATTTTTGGGGTCTAATCATCGATTATTTACACTATATATCTTTAAGCAATATAGTCTCAGTCATGCTCGCTGCTAGACTTTTTGGGAGAGCATTGTTGGCTGCGGCCAAATCAGAGAGTTCAGCTGATGCTGCTTCTTCTGCTGCTACAACTAAGGTTACTAATCCACTTGAGCAGTTCTTTGAAGTTGATAGAACCCCTGATGACGATAAACCTGTTATTTATGATAAAATCCTTTACCTTTCACTGTGGAACTGCTTCCTTGTTAGCCTGATTGGATATGCTTTATCTTTTTTGTTTACCATTTCTATTGCTTGAATTTCTGAGACTGTGTAAGGTTAAAGTACCTTGAATTCCTTGATAAAAACGATTATTTATGATGCTGGAAGTATTAATATGCTATTTCCATACTCATACTTTGTAAATACATAAACAGCCCCTTCAAGTTGTCCACAACGATCAGTTGAACACCTCAACTGAGACTATTTCCAGTTAAACACTTCAAGTACTTACAAAGTATATCAAGTAAACACTTTGCGCTGACATGGCAAATCAATTGTGTCTCACTACAAATTGAGCGCGTGAGGACATAAATTCTGTTCTTTTCTTTTTCTTTTCAGTTTAAAAAATAACCTTTATTTTTGTGGACCCACATACCTTCATCTTTACTTCCCCTTCTTCAAAAAAAAAAAAAAAATTTCACCATAAATGAAAAACAAGAAAACCCAAAAGCAAACCAATTCTTTAAATGACATGTAGGTTTTTAGAAACAAATACTCTTATTATAAAAACAGAAATTAAACCTTCTTCTTTCCAACAGAAGCCGGCTNGATCTCCGGCAACGAAGCTATCCCAAAACCACCATAAAACCACCTTGGGTTAATCCTTCCGGCCACTGTAATCTACGCCTCTATATCAACATTTCTCCACCAAATACTCGAATCCAAACACTAATAAAATTCCTTCATTTTAGCCAAGAACCTTAAGCGCCGCACAAGCTCCACCGTATCTCCTCCCTAATCACCGACCAACATCTCCTTTTATCGTCTCAAATTCTTTTGTTGTGCTTTGAAGTGCAACTATGGCGGAAGAAAGAGCCATCCATGTGCGAGTGCGGAAATGAATGTTTCCTCCATCTTCAATGTTTCCCTTCCACTTTTGCTTCGATTAAAGGGAGAAAGGAAGTGGGTGAAACAGATTGGAAATTTTTTCCCAGTCGAGATCTAATGGTGGAGTCGAAGGTCCTACTTGATTTGTAATTTTATTGAGTGGTAGTATAAGAATTGGCAATTTAAGGTGAGGTTTCTGTGTATTTTCGTTGGTGTGTAATAATGGTGGTTTGAGTTGGAGATGAAATCCAGTGTTCTTAGGGGAAGGAGTTACGTGGTTTAGGAGAAGAATTTTTTTCTTTTTTAAATATTTTTTTTTGTTAATTACATGTGTCAAATTCTTATGACAAAATTACACGTGTCATTTTTTGATTGGTTCATTTGCCATGTCATCGGCAAGTGCAACTCACACATATGGCATGATGTACTCAGGTGTTTACTTGACCTACTTAATAGCCACTTAGGGTGTTTAACTGGAAATGGTCTCAATTGAGGTGTTCAACTGACCGTTGTGGACAACTTGAAGGGGGCGTTTATGTATTTCGCCAATATAATTTGATTGCTAAATTTAAGATCATAGCATTGCAGCTGTGAAAATAGGCTTTGGTTTCAACTCTAACTGGAATGTTTTGATGTGCTTCCTGGCATAAGTCTTGTAGGATCAGTATATTCGTGTGTTGATGGAGAAATGACAACTGTTTCAACTGAAGGGGAGTGTGCACAATGCTGTCAATGATATATTTTCTCCAGCTTAGGATTAGAGGTGACTAAAAGTGTAAATTGGTGATAAAATGCATGAAGAAAATAGTGTATAAATGTTCATTTTGATGAATCCTTCTCTGCATTTTCTGCACATGTATCCCCGGACCTTTTTCTTAATTTTCATTTTGACTGCTTATATTGTTGAAATTTAATGGTGAAGGTTGTCTCAATATTGGAGTAATCGGTTATAAATGATACTCCCTCCGGTCCGCAGTAAGTGACTTTTTTGTCTTTGGCACACCCCTTAATAAATACAAACTCCTAGAAAACAAATTAGTATTTTGACTAAATTACCCTTAATTAAATTTTGCATATTGTTAGCTTGACACATTGGGATATGTAAATAGGAGCAAATTTGAAAAACTATAGTTAATTCATTCTTGATTATGTAAAAAGAACACTTATTCTGGACCAAAATAAAAAGGCCAAAAAGTCACTTATTATGTACCGGAGGGAGTATTATGTTGTGAATGATGTTGTTGCATTCCGTATCAGAACATAGTCTAGTAATTTCCTCTCACTAGAAGTAGGGGTTGAATCTCATACTTGGGGTATATGGTCTAGGGGACGTAAGTGCCTCATGAGTAGGGCCTTGTAGGTAAACCTATGTTGCTCAGACTCTCCGAAAATGTCTCCAAGTGCGTGTTGGATCCTCCAAAAGTAGTGTATTTTTGGAGGCTCCGACACGGGCATTGCAACATTTAGGAGAGTTCGTGCAACATAGAGGTAAACACATGATATGATAATGAGGTTCTTATTGCTGATAGACTGTTTGAATAAGTTTGTGCTCAAGTTATAGATCTATTTTAGAAGGCAGAGGGTTTTGCATGAGTCCTATATCTGATAGGCTAAAACTTAAAACATAATCAGGTCGAAGTTGGAAGGCTTCTGAACTGCGTCTGAAGTCTTGGGATGATCTTCAAAAGTTATGGTATGTTCTTCTGAAGGAGAAGAACATGTTAATGACTCAACGCCAGATGCTTCATGCTCAGAACTTGAGGTTTCCCAATCCTGAGCGTATTTCCAAGGTAAAAGTTAGATACTTTAGTTGACTCTTTTCACGATATTTTGATAATTTTACCTGTCCACTTTCAAGTGTTTGTTCGTCATGAATAGTTTATCCGAAGTTGGATGAATTATTCCCCCCCCCCCCCCCCCCCCCCGGGGTTTGAAGCTGTGTACATGGACTCTGTTATGGTTATGTATCGATACAGGTGTGTGTAAGCACGTATAGTTTTGTTATTCTATTTACTTTTTTATTTGGAAGAATCTTCACAAAGTACATCTACCCATGCCATACTCATTCTATGCGTGTACATCTTGAAAAATGAATGATCCATGTACATAAGCAAATCTCGTATAGTGCTGTCCACAAAGTAGAAAATAGCTGGCCTCCATGCCTCTAGGCTGTTTTTACGATTGTTGTCAACTTAGCAAACTTCATGCTTTATCCGTGCTTGGGATTGACTATCCCTCAAAGTTATGGAGTAAGACATTGATTCCTCAACAAGATCAATTCTTTTGATTGTATGATAAACTCCCTTGAGAAAAATAGGTGCGCTTGTGAATGAGGTGCTCTACCACTAATTCCTTGAATCTGGTACCAGCGGGTATAAACCCCCCACCCCCACCCCACCCCACCCCAAAAAAAAAAACCAGCTACTTGCCAGTTCTCTTAGCTCCACTATCTACCCCATCACAACAAGTCTTCTAGCTGCAGATTGTATCCACTGTAAGCATTTAGGAGGAGTACTTCCCAAAAATGCCAAAATCTAGTGACAACCCGGGATTCTTGAAACTGCATATGCACATATTCTGTGCTGTGCTCTATTGTTATTTCTGGGAGTAGACCTTTTCCAATCTTGTCTGCTGAATACATCGGTGGCTTGAAACCATATAAACCAGTATACCACGTGCTTAATATTTAGTTGAATTGTGGCTTTGTAAGTGGTTGACAAAAACTGAAACATGAAAAACCATTTTAGTCCCAGAAATTTGTTAGAACTAATTAGCTTCTGCCTTCTCAGCCACCACTTTATATCATGATTATGCTGTTGGCTTTGCTATCAAATTTTGACAGAACATTCTCTTCATCTGAGGTTCAGCTAACTTATATTGGATTCTGGAATCTTAAATACTAGTTGGTGGAATGTGCGTCTTGATATCTAAATATTCTTTGTCAAACTCATTCTAGGACGTGCCAATTCTCTCTTCCCATGTTGCTTCACTTTTAATTCTCTTACTGATTTGAACCACTGAGCTGTTAACATTTTGCTGATACAGAGCACACTTTCTCATTATCATCTTTGTGAGAATGACATTCAGGTTACGAAGTGATCACGCCCAACTATGCCTTACAAAAAGGACTCTGCGGACGTTGCAAGTATAACCCGAGTATTACGCCCAGGGTCGAATCCACAGAGAGTTAACCTATCAACCACTATCTTCAGACCCACTAATTCTTCAGAACCAGCTTCCCAAATATTCAAATCTCAGTTGAATGTTCTTTAACAACTAGCTTGCAAGTAACTAAATAGCTGTAAACTAAACTAATAAGGTTGTAAACAATTATGAGAAAAATGCTAAGGAAATGATTTCCCCTATTGATGGAATCCCTTCTGTTTATGCTCATACAAATTTACCAACACATCTCTATCAATCATGAACGCTAATCTTACCGTAAATCTTTCCCGAGTAATCACAGTAATTTTACTATTGCACTCTCCTGAGATACACTAGCTTACTTTATTTAGCACGATTCACTTTAGATTACACCCAAGGCTTCGTTATCCATAATCCCGCCTTTAAATCCGCAATTATAGATTCCTCTACTAATCTAGGAGTGGTGTTGTTCAACAATACCCTAAATATGCACTCTTTTCCAAGTTATGCACACTAAATAGGCACAACTAATTGAGGATCCTGTCAATTAACTACAACAAACACGAAGTTGAACAAATAGAGATTAAACTAGCAATTTGTATTCACATAAACAAGAAGTTCATCACCCAATAGGTTCCATCAAAACCTTAGACAAGGAATTTAGCTACTCATGGCTATGGGAAAATAAACTAAGGTTGAATTCATCATAAAAATCAAAAGTAAAGAAGAAAGATGTTTGGAGTATTCTCTCACAATGGTTTTCCTTGCTAAGAAACCTTAAAAATCAATACATGCCTCTCTTGGGCGAAGTCTAATGTTTTAAATAGGGTTTAGGTCTAAAAATCTCGTGTTTTACACTTTGGTCCCTGAAGTTTTCTGCTTTCGCCGCGGTTCTGCCGCGGTCGCGGTCAAACCGCAGCCAAAAGCCTTCTCTGATTCTGAAATCATCCGCAGCTGTCTTCCACCGCGGTTCTACCGCGGTCGCGGTGGAACCGCGGTGGATCCTGTTCTCTGAATCTTCGGCCTGTTTTGCGTGGTTTACTTGGGGAATTTCACAGTTGGCCTCTTTCTCATCAATTTTGACTCCAAAACTGCTCCTTAGCCTTCCTTATACACCTATCACCTGCAAATCATGAAAAGCACTATAAGAGCATTTTGTATCACTT